GCCGGGACGCGTGCTCTCGGGTGCCACCGCGCAGGTGGGACCCAAGCTGTGCTTCACCCGTGCTCGCTGAGGATGCTCGTGTGGGTGCTGGACACACACACACCCCCCCGCAGCCTCCTGGGGTCACCGCGGCTGCTGTGGGGTGCAGGAGCAGAGAGGGGCACAGCAGACTCCGCTTGCCCCCCATCCCTCCCCCAAGCTGCTCTCCCAAAAACCCAGGTCAAGAGATCAGAGTTTCCTGGGGGAGGCACAGCCACGAGCACTTAGTGAGCTACAGATTTGGCTTTATTTCTCCAGATGGGTGGAAAAAAAAAACAAAACAAAACAGCGCATCGCAAGCCCAGCCAAAATGTGGCAAATAAGCTGGGCTTGCTTGGGAGCAGACCAGACTGGGGCTAAGCCAGCCTTAACCAGGAGCTGCCTGCCGCCCTGCCGGGAGCCCTGCGGCAGGAAGCCCGGGAGAGTTCACTTTCCAGCTCCACAAGTCCCAAAATCTTCCAGCAGCAAGCTGGACGGCGCAAGGTGAAAGCACGAGGACTTCTCCCATCATCTGAGGGTCAGGTAGGTTGGAGGTGACCTCCAGAGGGCCCTGGTCCAGCACCTCCAGCTTCAAAATCAGATCACACTGGCCATATTGGGGCAGGGCCTCCATCAGCAGAGCCCTAACGCCAGCACACGGGCGCACGTACTTCCTCCCAGAGTTAAAAATCCAGCAATCACCCTGCCAGGAGCTCACGTGCGCTGCCTGCCCTCCGGCACAGCACCTCCCAGTGTGTCCATGCGAGCTTTAGGAGCAATCATCTCCAAGATCACTATTCCTTGGCTCAAATGGGGCTAAAACCAGCCAACCAATTAAAAAATGTGGCTAGACAGACAAAGCTACACACGTACGACCACAGAAACCTGCTTTCATAAGAAATCTGGCTAAAATGCTCACTTAAACTGCTCGGCAATAATGTTTTCTAACACTCATGTTCCCACATGGTAGGTCCCTCAAATCACAGAGGTGCAAAGAACATGGGTGTGGAGAAGAAAGCCAGGCCTCCGAGCAGTACCAGGTCTAAAGCCCTGCCACGTGTGATCTCGGGGCAAAAGGCTTTAAAAGAGCGTCTGCATCTTTCCAAGACACCCCCAAGGGCTCATGCGCCACCTAACATGCCCAAGCATCCTCCCAAGCACGCGCCGCAGGCTGCTACAAAGAGGGAAAACTACCTCCTCCGCATGCCTTGGAGCAGTGAGACCAGCTCTTGAGGGCCCACTCGTAGGAATCCATCTCCTCCAGCAGGACGTTGTTGTTTCCAATCATGGGCAGCAGGTCTTCGTGGATGATGTACCGGTACATCAGGCTGCTCCTCACCTCCTCCTCCTCCTGAGGGATGACCTGCGGGTAGAGAGAGGACAATCAGAGAGGGGGAAGGAGAGGAAGGAGCGATGCCATGGGATAAGGAAAGGAAGAGGAGGCCATCGAAGCAAAAAAGAAGTGAACGATGACCACACGGTACGGTACACGCAAGAGCCGGAGAAACAAACCCCATTACTACCTCCAACGTAATTAGGTGGGCTTTGAACACAGAGTCTACCCTTCGGGAACGTACCTCTCCAGTTGTGGAGAAAAAAGCTGCCCAAACACCCCAACTGCAGCCTTGGGTCACATGCCCCTGGCCTCTCCTCTGACCTGCAGGACCACAGCCTACCCCCAAGGCCAGAGCTGGCCTTGGGGATGGACGGGAGTGCAGACCTACTCTTCGCTGGGTGCCCAGGGAACCCAATCCCTAACTCCTCCAAATACCAGTATAACTAAAACAAGACATGGAATCAGAAGCAATTGCTGCCCAGAGCAAAATACAGCTGGGCTCCAAGGCAAGCACCCCAGCAACGCGTCCTTATGCCCTTCTTGCACACAGCTCATTGCCCCTTGGTTTTGGCTAGCTCCTTTCCTGGTTCTAATGACATGCCCTACACCCTTTGTCCACCAAAGTCCTTCCATCACCTCCTACACCCCACCTCAGACCACCTTTCCCCTCTGTACCACTGGGTGATGGTCGTCCCCAACACCCCCAGAAGACGGGTCAGCCAGGCTTACCAAAACGCTGATGGCCTCGTGCAGAGGACCACTGGTTTTCAGGCTCTCCTTGCCGTGTTCAACGGTGTATTCCCACTCCAAGCCCATCTCAATGAACACTTGGCTTTTGGCTTCTTTGCCTTTGGCGTTAAGGATGAAGTCACCCGTGGCTTGATTCTTAACAGCTGGAGGAGAAAGGAGGTATTTCAATGTCATTTCCTCTGGTCACCGCCTTCGAAAGATTGGAATGACCCAAATCAGACCCTTTCATAGAATCACAGAATGTTTTGGGTGGGAAGGGACCCCCAGAGGTCACCCAGCCCAACCCCCCTGCAGGAGCAGGGACACCTTGAACCACATCAGGTTGCTCACAGCCCCGGCCAACCTGGCCTGGAATGGTCCCAGGGATGGGGCCTCCACCCCCTCTCTGGGCAACCCCTGCCAGGGTTTCACCACCCTCACTGGAAAGAATTTCTTCCCTATATCCAGCCTAAAATTTCTTCCTTATATCTAGTTTTGGGTGGGAATTGGCAGAACAGGGCTGAGAAAGAGGTAACGGACAAAGGGCAAGGTGAACTGCGGCGTACTCACCGATGCTGTGGGACGCCGGCTCCATCTCTTCTATCTGAAGGTGCCTTGCCCCAGCTGGGATCTCAAACATCTTCA